TCAGTCTGTTTTCTCGAGATGAATTTGGTTGTTTTTAGGCAAATGGAAATGCCAGGAGCAAATGGCGTTGGTCGTACTTATACGCTACGTACTGGTTACGAGATACCGTTAATTGGTCTTGGAACATACAAAATCAAGGGTGATCTGGTAAGAGAGTCTTGAATTTTTAGTGATTAGCAGCGTTCAAGCCTCAGTACTCCACGGATTTTCACACTTCCAAGCGCTTATTAAGTTCTGGGTGCACTATAGGTACTATGGCATCTTTCGTGCAGGCGCTAGGAATTGTGGAGGGAAGGATAGGGAGCAGATTGCTCGGTGCAACTTAAAGCAGTAAACAGTCGATAGATACGCAGCGCTCACAGCCGTGGACACGCCCTGCCCACGCGCCGTGAACTGAAGTGTACACAAGTTTCAACCTGTTAATTGGTCATATCCAAAGATTCATTTTTCTATATTGAAGATGAAGCCAGCGGTGAATGCTGCACTGGCTGCTGGATACCGATTGTTTGACACGGCTAAAGTCTACGATAATGAGTCGGATTTAGGTGAAGCTTTGGAGGTAAGCTTTATCTATATATTTCAACAATTATCTAATCTTAGTCGCGAATCCTTTGAACTACAAGGATGTCACAGCCCATGAAAGTAGCTTTACCTAAGTTACCAGAACATCGTCGGTTCTATCTAATGTGGTCTTCCAGGCTGTTCAGCCCGTTTTCGAAATGGATGTTGCATGAGGTACAGTATTACTCGCTGCGGATGCCGGGGTGTTTGCGGAGAGGGGGATTTCACTAGACGCCAGGCCGTTCTCTGGCAAGGTCACATCACAAATGGTGGAAAACTGGCTGGCGCTGCATCAAACACAGCCCACCTGAAGCGTCCCCAGAACCCGCTGCGAGCACTGTACAAGTTCGTGGGGGTCACAAAAGTGCAGTTGTTTTTACTGCGCACATTTGTGAAGGTAAAAAAAACTGAACAATAGGTTTATCTTTTGAACCTCCTAAATTTTGCGTTGCTTGTCTTAGTATCAGCAAAAACTGTCTAAAAAACATCCGAGCCCCTCAAAAATAGAACAACTTAACTTTGCCAGTATTGTCTCGAACTCAGGGAAAACTTTCTCGCCCCTTTTGCATTGCCTGAAGCGCGCAGCAGGAATGAACCATACTTTCGTGATAAGAACCATACTTTCGTGATCCTCACATTTACAGTCAAAGTGGCCAGCGATTCGTTTGGAAAACGAGCTCCACAACCTAAAAGACCATCATGCAGGAGTGAACGTGCCTTGTTTCCCTCAATGAACTGCCCTTCTAAAGATATAATTTAGGCATGTATTCCTCTAAACAACATCAGGAGGGAGGATGTGTTCTTGGTGACAAAGATATACCCGAGTGATTCGTCTGAAGACGTTCTGAACATGGTTGAAGACTCCCTGCGGAATCTACGCACAAGGTCCTTTTCTGAAGCATTCTCACAGACCATGCAGTCTCATACGGTGCGGATGACGGGGCCTGTCAAGGGGATGGGTTTGGCGCGGGGACTAGCCCAGTACTTCCTTTTTTTAATGGGAATGCGACAAGACTATCACATGGTCTATTCCTATAGGCCTTCCACTCATTGCTTGTCGCTTACCAGCTTTAACAACTTCACCCCCTATCCCTGAGGCGGGCTGATGTGGCATTTGGACGTGGCATACGATGGGTCACTCGTGGGGGACTCCAAATTGGCACAAAATTGTTTCGAAATGGAAATATCTTACCAGAAGCACCGTTATTTAGAGTACGCCACGCCTACTGCATATCAGAACTGGCTGGCGAGCTTCCCAGCCTCACTGACATGTCCCCTTCCAGCAGCGAAGAAGTCTGTTCAGGAAGGCAGAAAAGGCGTTCCTAAGACGACTGCGTGTTCCCATGCTTATGCTCTCTAGCACTCTGCCGCTGCTTTGCCTGAACCCTGCAAATGTCTACTTGGGAACGTTCCTTCTTGCCCTCAGATATGGACTGTAGACATGGTGCTCATTGCCGGAATTCCAATGAGTTTTATTTCAGCTACATCGATTTGGTTCTTATTCATTTTCCAAAGACTAAGGACACTCCACTGGACGATCCTGCCAACGCGTTGCATAGAAAGAGCACCTACCTGGCGCTGGAGCATTTGAAAAGTACGTAGGTAATCATTCTCCGTTGATGAAGAATATGACCTGCCAGTTGCAAAATTGCCCCTCCCTTGGGCCTTCAGCTGCTATGGTTAGAACGATCAAGGTCAGCGATATGAGTTTTTTCATTTTTTAGGCATGGGAAAAATTCGGTCCGTTGGCGTTTCCAATTATGAAGTCCGACATATCGAGGAGATCAAGGCTTACGGCCAGGTTTGACTTAGTTTCCATTTGCGACTCAACTTTTAATAATCGTTCTGAAATGGCGCGAATGAGACGTCATCTAAGATGATGTCGTCACAATTAGACCGGGTAGTGTCAAGGGACATGGAATGGGGCACCCGATGCGTTTCCACCCATTGGTTGTTTTCTTCCTGTATAGATTGCAAGCCGACCAATAATGATAGAAAAGAGAGTCTGAGATGGGTTCATCCCAGCCTCCTGAACTGCCCAGGACGGAACTTGCGACGATATCAACCCATATGAAGTGGTTGCATTCATGAATAGGCTCTGGAATACGCTACGCATCAGGTGGGTCAAACGTTTCATTCATAACCAGTCATTCCGCTGACCTTACCTGAGGCAATCCGCTGGTCCAAATCGCGGTAAGATTAACCGTTGCAGCGTTTGGATCCCAACGAGGGGGTTCTATCTGTCGTGAAGGACGAGCTCTATGTCCTTCTGTTCGAAAATGTCCGTTTTTTACTTGTCCTCGGCTTTTGTTCTTTTGTTTGTTTTTCTTTGTTTCTATTTCCCTTCTACGTGCGCTATATGTTGTAGGGGCATGGGGAAGGGCGGGAGGAGGTCACGTGAGAGGGTAGAGCTCCCAAAAGGAGGTCGTATTCTGCAAAACTTTTCCCTGAGGTAGCGTTCAGACTTGTCGCGAGGCAAACTTTCGCGCTGCAATTGTCGCGCTTCAATTGTACCTGACCCCAGCTTCCCTTTATGTTCTTTCTTCCGGTATTCAATCCCTTTTTCACTGTTTCTCATTTCTACCTGATTCTCAGCTCCTCTTTTTCACTTTAACATTGAATTTAGACAGAACAGAACAGTGAACAGAAAGAAAACAATTTCGTATTTGGGGAACTACATGAATCATCCATCAGTGCAAAACATCAACATCAACAGCTAACCCTACAACGGGAATAGTTAAGTCGAAGACGGTATGGCAAAAATCAGTATCAATAGTTGTCCCTGCCATCAAAAACTGCATAAATAATTCAATGTAAAGTGAAAAAAGGAGCTATCAGGTAATAGAAATGAGAAACTGTGAAAAAGGGATTGAATACCGGAAGAAAGAACATAAAGGGAAGCTGGGGTAAGGTACAATTGAAGCGCGACAATTGCAGCGCGGCAGTTTTATCGCGACAGTTGCATCGAGACAAGTCTGAACGCTGGGTAACGGCAGGACGTGCCTTGATGTGAGAGCCGCAGTATAGGTGAATGGATCGCTCGCTAGGCATGTCAAGCCTATGAACGGCACAATATTACCACCATCCCTAGAGCATTCGTCATTTTCAGGATATACCTTGTGTGAACCAGGTCGAGTTTCATCCCCATTTCATTCGCCAAGAGCTTGTGGATTACTGTAAAAAGAATGGGGCATACTTCTTACAGGTTTTTTTCAGGTTCATTTTATGGCATGGTGTAATATGCCTATAACTTTTCCTCTTGTTGATGCTAACCGCTGTTGGCGCTGTTCGGCTTGGCGGTGAGGGGGGGGAGAGGGGGATTTTGCATTTTCGCTAACTCTTTTTGTATTTAGTAAACTTAAATAGCCTGTGTTCTCCTGTGAAGCAGCAAAAAGGTACAAATGTGCTTTGGTAACAGGAATTCACAGGACTTCACAAGGTGTCCTGTCAAAGCTTAGCTGAATTCCACTCAGTACCCCCACCAAGCCAAACTGTGCCCTAACCATTGCACATACACTGTAATCTCACCAGAAATGAATTTTAAGGCATACTCATCTTTGGCTCGACATAACCCTGAATTGATGGGGCATCCAGTTGTGACAGAGTTAGCTGCTAAATATGAAATATCTCCTCAGGTTAGTTTCGCCTTGAAATAGTCGTCCAAACAGAAACAGTGAACCTTCACGTCTTTCTTTTGAGATCTTTTTCGACTTTCTTGAAACGTTCCACATTTTTTGATTGTATTGATTCTGATTCTTTGATGATTTTTTCCTTAATTCAGATCGTCTTGCTGTCATGGGCCATCAGTCAAGGCATCGGAATTATTCCGAAATCTTCAAAGCCTGATAGGATCTCGGACAATTTGAAGGTAATTTGGTTCCGCGTCTTCTATAACAAGGTGTCGGTCAGGAGATCCGAGTTGCAGTAATGTTGGCCAGCGCCATCTAGAGCTTCTGCAAGTTGGGTAATAGGGGATGATGACTGTAAGCATTCACTTTCCAGGCATGTGAAGTTCTTCTCGACCAAGCTGAAGTCCAACGTCTTCGAGAGCTGAACAGAAACAAGAATTACGTCCGCTGTGAAGGATGGCTGGTTACGTAAAATGTTCACTGAATCCTCTGTGATAGGCCATGATAGAACTTGATAAATGTGAGCTTCATGTTGTGTTTCCATTGAGTTTTTCACATTCCAATAAATTGCTGTCA